TCCTTTCTTTTCAAAAAATTTCGCCCACATAAACTACCCAACCTTCTCTCCAAAAACATACAAGTTTCCTGACTCACACAGAACTGAGGGCGATGCACCCAAGACTTCAGCTCTCCAGGTTTACAGTTCTGGTGCAGGCTCACCCAAAGCAGATATACGCATAAACTCACGCGCGCAAACATATATATGTATATATATATATAATATAAAAACAAAAAACGTGCCCTTATCATAAGGGGTTCTCGCTTGCATAAGTACAAATGTTTGATACTGCACAGTTAAACAACTCTCCTCACCAGAAGAAACAATTTAAAAGTTTACCTGCCAAAGCCACAAATAGCCATCTGTTGCAGTTCGGATGGGATGGTTTGCTTCGCCTCTTCCAAAACCTTTATTAGATCCCTTGCTTTCGGTGCATTTGATTGTGTGAAGAATGTGTAGGCCGTACCCTTCAAAAAAAAAAGTGTATAATATTCAAAAAAACATCAGAAGCCTAGTTTTTCTGCAATTTTTTCCCGCTCCAAAATACATTCATTAAACACAACGCATCTCCCGTGCCCCTTTCCTCTCTCCTCTGGCATCCCAGCAATTAAAACTCCGCAATTTACTATCCAAAATTTATGGATGATAAACACTGCACGAAGTAGCCATATATCAGATACAGATATTCTAGGCAAAATCCTACTGCTTGCAATTATTCACTGAAGTCTATTATCTGAAAGCCCATTGTAGCAGTGTAAAATAGTAACGGACTGAACTGCCTAATCCGGATAAACAACACGGGTTACCGTGTAAATGTGCTGATCATAAAAACGTAGATTTTTTTTTGACCGCTTACAAAATCGCGCACGAATATCTGGCTGGAATTTTGCGGAAAAAAGCGTAGTGATGGCCACTAGAATATGAGAGCACCCGTAGCAAGAAAGGTAGGTGTGAATGGAAAAATTCAAAGAACTGAGTTGAAGCAACAGAGTAGCATCCAGCAGACAAGGTGCCAGATGCCCGTTTACTTTCAGAACTTACAGTTTTATCGCGACGTCCTGTTCTTCCAATACGATGCACATAATCCTCCGAATTGTTCGAGTAATCATAATTTATGACATAT